GCAGTAGCTGTCCGGCAACGATTGCAGGATTAGGTCTACAGCCAACTCCTTTGGCAAAGGAAACCCGAGACCCTCAAGGCTCTCAATGAATCCGATCATTTTCAGCACATGAGGTCTCACGGGTGATGATTCGGCCATCCTGCATTGGAATAAGGCTTTAGAGGTCTCATACCTCTCATGCCTAGCTTGCTCTTCAAAGAGCATCTTAAGGTGTTCGATCATATCGAACGCCCCCATATTCTCGTGTTGCTTCTGAAGCCCCGAGTCCATGGTTACCAGCATCAAACATGCTACATCCAATGCATCATCGAGATGTTTCTTATAAGCATCCCGTTCTGCCCTGGGAGCAGAAGGCGCCGGTTCACTCGGAACAGGCCCTTCAAGGACATACAGCTTCTTTTCTTGTTTGAGGACAATCCTCAAATTGCGATACCAAGGTGGGAAGTTATTCCCATTCAACTTGTCCTTCTCAAGGACAGATCGCAATGATAGTGTACCTGTGTTTTGTGCCATGGTAATTCTACAACAAAGATCAACTCACACAAATAAGAGTCATGCATACATAAATCATTTAACAAGGAATTTAATTAAATGATGCTCCTACCAAGAATCAATAAAATGATAACAAGTAGGCCAAGATCCACATTTCACTACAACATAAGTCAGCTAGGGCTGATCACCTACATCATAGCTATTTAGGTAGACAACTCTTGTCAATTACATCTCTATGCAACTCTTGGATAGTTGAGTGAACAACACCTTGTCGAAGTCTATCTTATAGACATTCCTCAACCCTTGCCTCTAGGTTCTTAATCCTATTAAGGTAACCTAGTTAAGTCTATACCCACAACAAGCAATCGGGATATTACAATTATCCTCTCGAACCTTGCTAGGATAAACATAGGCACCTTGCTAGGGCAAAACCTACCTAGTGTTGATCTAAGCAATGATTAGTGCTCATCATGGTAGGCAACTAAGAACTTAATATTTCATCAACATATGTTCATACAACTCATGCATATAATCATTTAATCATACATTGATGTTAAGCAAATTTGGAAAACAAAAATGCAAATGAACATCGATGTTTACACAAAAACATCGATGTTGTGACAAGTAAACATCGATGTTTAAACTTCAACATCGATGTTATGAAAGTCAAACTTTCCCAACATATTGGCAGTAGCTCAAAAACATCGATGTTTAAACTTCAGCATCGATGTTTTGAGTGCTTGAACTCCAAACCTTTTGGCAGAGTCTCAAAAACATCGATGTTAGACACTACAACATCGATGCTTTGAGTACCCTGAAAGTTCAAAATTTGGCAGTAGCATAATAACATCGATGTTGGATTAGAACATCGATGTTTGAACTTCTTGAACCCTATAACATCGATGTTGTAAAAACAAACATCGATGTTATTTGAGTTCTGGAAATTCATTCAGTTTGGCCGAAGTCAAATAACATCGATGTTGTCACTTACAACATCGATGTTGTTGAGCACCTGCATGAGAACATCGATGTTTTGTCACACAACATCGATGTTATGAAGATTCTGCCGATTCTAGCTTCATCTAAACATCGATGTTGGTGACACAACATCGATGTTATGAAGGTTCGACCAATCCTCAAGCCATGCCAACATTGATGTTGGTCACACCAACATCGATGTTTTGGCCAAACACCCCTTGAACGACAATCGTTCAAAACACAAACCGACACTCGGTTTTCCTTAATCGAACTCTTTGATCTACTACCATAAACACCTTAATTGATATCTCATACCAATCAAGTGCTTCTTGTCAAAACACTTTTGACAAATCAACATGCATATCTCATATACTCAATTGAACACAATATGGCATGATCATGCTATATCACATAAAACATATCATGCATATTTACTCAAAACATACCAAACATATGCACATATTTGCATGGCAAATCATATATACCAAAACAAAACTTAGCATATCATTTGATAACCACAAAACACATCATGTTCAAAATCACCTAGCATATCACATATACAAGTTGATTCCTACACATACTTAGATGATCATATCACATACGCATCATTTACACGGTTTAAGAGCGTCACAAGTGGCTCCGCTACCACTGTAAGTTTCCCTAGCTATATGACATTCATATAAAAGCAAAAGATGCAGCGGAAGACGAAGGGAAACAACCAAGAACACATGTGAAGCTAGTAAACCGTATAATAATTTTTACATACCTGTAAGGTTAGGATCTTTCACCTAACTTGTGTAAGGAATCAGTAAGAGCAAGAAGAAGACCTGCTCCTCTACGGTATCCACACGAACCGTGATAGCTTGGAGTCGTCCCACGAAACAAGCTTCGAGCTCCCCGGATTGGTGTGCTAGCAACAAAAACGGGGCTATGTGTAAGGTGTGTTTTTGGCTCTTTCTTTCTTTCACAAAGAAGAAGAGATGGTGGTCTATGTGTGTAGACTGAAAAACCAGCACAAGGCAGGAGAGGGGAGCAGAAAAAACGTGAAAACCAAAAGCCAAGCCAGGAGATGAATGATCTAATCATTCAAAACCAAGTGGAGACACAAGATAGTGCAAGTCATGGCCTACCCCCTTTGGCCCATCACCCACTAAATCATATCTTAGACAAGATAATGCTGCTCCCATCATTCTTTCCAGCACAACACACACAACATTCCACTCATGCCAGATCAATAATTATTGATCCAAAACCGGCCCTGGTTCAACCATGGTCCAACCATGGTTCAACCACGGTCCAACCATGGTCCAACTACGGTTCGACCATCTGCTCGAATCATCGGTTCTATGTGTGTGACCCTGTAGGCACTTGTAACGTCCGACAATGATTGTAAAATCTCATTTTACAATCATAAACAAAGAGCGGCGTCTAGCAACACATCATTGCTACCCGAACGACAAGATCAGAACTGATTCACTATGCCTCGGAATATGTCACCGTCCTATCGTCCCATTATCAAGATTATACCGAGACATGGAAACGTCAATCTCGTATATGTCTATTCTCGGTTTCTTGATCCTCGAGTTAACTGTATAAAACGGATACCCGTGATATCATCATATCACCCTATCCGAGCATGGCCATGCACTTAACAGTTCAACTCTATCAAGAAACCTACTCGATAATATACCCGTTATATAGGTCGGACGAATCCCCTCTTGATCAATCAAAACCCACTACATACTCGTCATATACCCAATGGTTACCCTTATGTCCACCCAGTTACGGATGACTAGGAATAATATCAAAATACATGATTCATATGTTGGATACCTTGATGATCTCAGGTCGGAGGACAATACATCTAAAAGAAACACTATCGACATACATATAACGTTCCATGTAGCGTTCTTATATGGGTCGGTCCGGTCAACAAGATCCCCATCTTGTACCCGTATGCAGAATTCGTAACTCATACAATCCTCAACATACGCTAGTCTTATTTTATTATTACAACCCAACCATAATAATAAACGACTAGGGACTTTAAGAATATACATATCAAATACATATATACTAGGGTTATATATATGTGCAATCGATTATCTCATAATCATATATATATAGGCATAACCTCAAATATGTATACATGAATACAATCATCCATAGATTGGCTTTTGGGCATATTACTAACAGCTTGAGTAGCCGAAGGACATGGAGCTGCAGACCGGAAATATTCTGGACGAGTGGAAGAGAAAAACTGAGCCGCCGGAATATAAGAAGTAGACGCCCCAATCGAAGAGAAAGGAACACTGCTAGAAGGAAACCCCGCGCCTGAGGTCACCGCATAAAACTCGTCGAGCTTGGAGGGGCCATAGAAGGCCAAGAAGAGACTGGTGGCCTGGGATAATCAAAAAGAAAAGGCCAGGATGCATCAGTGAAAATTGGTTGCGATGAAAGCGGCGCGTGCAATTGGTACTGACCAAATTGCATCTGAGAACCAGGAAGAGGATCCAAGCCGGAAGGACGCACCCCCGGTGGCGGCAGAGGACTAGAAATCGCAGCCAAAGGCAAAGGAACCCCGGGAAGAGCTGAGCTAGGGTTAGGAGAACCCCCAATTCGCGCCTGGGAAACGAAATTAGGGTTAGGAGAACCCCCAATCTGAATCCCTTGGTGAGGCGATGATTCAGAAACCGTCACACGAGAAGGCGAACTCGGGCGAGAAACCAACAACCTCTCTATGCGAGAAGAAAAAGAAAGAAGCTGATCTTGATTTGATTTCTACAACTTGGACGCCATAGCCTCTATCTGATCTTTCGTCCCTGCGATGAGCTCCGCTTGAACCGCCACCAAACGCTGCTCCGTCTCGGAGGAATGAGAGCGAAGAGCTTCTACAACAAAGTCACAAACCGTAGTCGAAACCGTAGCAGCAACCATTGATGATCGGTGGGTTCGATTCACAGACGGCGCCAATTGTTACGTGGTAACTGAACGTAACTGATTTTTAGAGAATACCGGAACAGAAACACAGAGAAGAAACTAAGACTGAATAGAGAATGTTATTAATGATTCACAAAAACTGAATTACAAGTGTTGACCTGTGCTATTTATACTTCCCAACACAATAGCTGTACGACATGTAGCTCATAGCCACATTCATCCACGACACCTCAACTGACTAAAAGGCTTTGATACGACATAGTGAAATGATGTCGTATCAACTTTTTAACATAACGCCCGTCGTCTTACCAAAAAAAAAAAAACAAAGACTGGGCTTTAGTTCAAAAGCTAAAGATTTTGGTTTTCATCAAGCATCGAAAAGTAAGTTGTAGGATTTAGGGCATTGGGTTGAGAATTTTTAGTAATTTCATACCAGGAGCCTTCAGCAGCGACATGTCATACAGGTGTCAGCGCATGAGAATATTTTATGTTTAAAAATGAGAAAACAGGGCTTGTAGTCTTCGTCGTCGCGCGCACACACACTCCCCCGTACGGAAAGCACACGAGCCGAGCGTCGCCTCCTCTCCGAAATGGACGAAAACCTGGCGGCATATTACCAGCCGCCGGTTCCTCCCCCGCCAACCGTCGCACACTACCCGGCCTACTACCAAGCCCCACCGCCGACCATACCTTCACTCGCGCCCCTCCCGCTCCCGCCACACCACCACCCTTACATCCCCCAGCGACCTTCGCCGGGAGCCCCCGCAGGTTTCGCATCCTACGTGGCTCAGGATCAGGTGCGCACACTGTTCGTTGCTGGGCTTCCGGAGGACGTGAAGGCCCGGGAAATCTACAACATCTTCCGCGAGTTCCCGGGCTACGAATCCTCCAATCTTCGTAGCCCAACTCAAAGCTCTCAGGCACGCAACTCCTCCTCTCCTTCATTCCTCTTTACTCTGTCCCCGCCAAACTTTCCTTTTCTTAGTAAGTTATTTTAAAAAAGTTTGTGCTGTTCATTAATTAATTAATTAATTCGTCTTGCGTTTATGTGTGGTTGCAGCCATTTGCTTTTGTTACGTTTGTGGACCAGATTTCTGCGGTTGCTGCACTGCACGCACTCAATGTGAGAGTTACATGAATTCCGTTTGCTTTTGTTTAGATTGTTCACTCTAGTTCTCTAGCTTCTTTGTTTCTGTTGGCTCGGGCATTAGGGGGATTAGACATTGGAAACTAAAAAGCTGAAAAGAACTTTGCACTTTGCAAATGCACTTTGTTTCAGGGGTTGGTTTTTGATCTTGAGAAGGGATCAACCCTGCATATTGATCTTGCAAAATCCAATTCCCGATCCAAACGTTCGAGAACAGGTTTGTTGCTCCCTGTTTCATCATTCCTTCACTTGTTTGTCTCCTTTTATTATTCTTGAGCTCCGCTTGTTAAATTTCATGTGCTGTGCTTTATCTTTCACGGATTAGATGATGAGTGCTCGGGCTCGGATAAGAAAGCCAGAGGATCCTCAGGATTTTCTACGGGTGCAGCTGAACTGGGTAAGATGACAGCCCTAAGTTGTTGAGAATGATGGAGGAGCACTCTGGTAGGAGCTCCTTTGTCTATGTTCTTTTATCTTTGTTCCCAGATTACTTTTTTTTATCATGCTTCTGCATTCAATTTTTGTTAGCTGCTGGCTTACATGGAATAGAAACCGATTGTTTAGCCACATGAAAGACACATTCTTCTTAAAGCTCACGCTGCACATGTTTTGCACGCTTGGGCACTTCAGGTTTTGGCAGCATCCACTTGCCTGGAATCGGTAATTCTGCTTACAACACGATTGGTTATCCACCTGCACAAAGGTCATCTGCACTGCTTGAGCACACTTTTATCACTTACTTTCACCTCAATTTAGCACATGCTTTAACATGGAGTGATTACTTCTAGCTGAAAGGTCAAGGGCTTGGTAGCACCAGTTTTGGAATGCCCTATCCTTAAAGTTGGAGTTCTATAACCACCTTTTATAACTCTCTTCTTGGATCTTATATGCTTTACTAATGGCCGTTATTATTTTTGCCTCAATCATTCAGTCATGGAAACTCTGATGGCAGAGCTGTAAAGGATTCAGCAACTGCAAAATTGGTAGGATTTACCACTTCAATATTTGTTTTGGTGTCTAATATAAGTTTTTGCCCCTTGTTTTTTTTTCTCCTAATTGATATATTCACCTCACAGAATAATAGACTTTCCTACTTTAGTGAATTGATTGCTATTGGACTCTTCCAAATTCTAATATTTGCAATTGGTTGAGGGAGAACTTTCGTTGTTGTAGTTCTGAATGAAAAAAGAGAAAATCCCTAAGTAATTGTCAAATGCTGGAATATTCACCTTTATAGTCCAAAATTTTTTCTTAGAAAAACACTTCTTCTTTATCTAATATCCATGATGACCAGATCAGCAAACTAATACTGAGTTTTGTAAGCATTTTACAAGTTTTGCCAGTATTTCTCGGAGATGATTCAATTCGAAAATACTAGAATCGTAAAAAATCCAAGGTTCTTTGTAAAATTAGGCAGCAGGTGGATATGACCAGCATCATGTTGGTGAATGAAACGGGAAGGGACTCCCCAGATTCCTTACCATAGCTTTTTAAATATTTTGATACAACTTTAAATTGAACCCTAAAAATTTTATTTTTTGAATAACAGTTACAAGATTCCTTAGATATCTGATTGAAACTTGTTGTCATTGGAAAAGCTTTTTGATATGTGCTTTACTACATTCAGGGCTTAATACTTGTTCCGTATGTGATTATTTGACCTCAAATACTGTTCAATGTCTTTTTATGCACATCATCACTGATGTCAATGATTAATGGTTTTGACAGAGTAATTCTTTAGCACCGCCATGTCCAACCCTTTTTGTTGCTAATTTGGGGCCAAATTGTACAGAGCAGGAGCTTATTCAAGTGTTCTCGAGGTAAGTAACCAGTGATTTGTAATGTAAATTTATGTTTTGGTCTTTTGGTTTAATGTTCTGCTGGTCCATTTCTCCTGGTAGATGTCCTGGATTTTTGAAATTGAAGATGCAGAGTACATATGGAGCTCCAGTAGCATTTGTTGATTTCCAGGTACCTGATTGTTGCCCACTCATGGAGCACTTTGTCCTCGTATATTTCTTCCTCAATCCCTTCACAATTTTTGGAATTGGCATGTTTGCCCTTCTCTTGAAAACTGTAAGCAAATTTCTTTCGTTATGTTTTGAAACACTAATGGCCCGTTTGGTTGGGTGTAATGGGATGCAATGGAATGGATTCTATTCTTAAAATTTAAGCATAAATTCCATTTGATTCCTTTCCATTACATCCCTTTACACCCAACCAAACCGGCTGTAAGTGCAATGGTTCATGCTTTTTACAATAGAACTTTTGTGTTTGCGTTGTGTGTTGTCTTGCTGGATGAACATGTAAAATATCACTAAGTTTTTTTGTAATGATATGTGGGGGATCTAGGTCAATGGTTTGGAGCTCTACTGCTTTACCGATTACCGCCACAATTTTGCTATCTTCTGCTCTCTGAATCTTTTGAGAGATTCAAATTTTATTTTTTGAGAAATTAAGACTTTGGTTGTGCAGGACACTACCTGTTCTACTGGGGCACTGAATCATCTGCAAGGGACTGTTGTTTACTCATCACCAGCTGGTGAGGGAATGCGGTTGGAGTATCCTTTAGATTTACATTTGTGTGGCACTCTTGTTATTGTTGTTCTCTTTACCATCGATATCATTATCATTGTTGTTTTGTCATGTATTTGTCATTGCCGTTATTGTCGCTTTTGAGTTTTTGTCAATCTTTCCTTAATACAAATATAGATATGCAAAATCTCGAATGGGCATGCGAAGGAAGCCAAGGTAATCATCATATGGAAGATGATACGACAACAACCCTAGAATCAATACTAGGATCACCTTCATCTCAATTTGATTGTCCCGATCTTCAATCTCAATCAAACTGTTGTGTATTCCATTCTTCACCTCCTAATCAGCAGGGATTAGACAACAAAACAGCAAGAATTCACAAAGAATTTAGTGAATCTATTCTTCACCTCTCAAAAAGCAAAGAATAGGCAATAAAGAGATTAGAAACACAAGGATTAGAATCAACGCCACAAGCAAGAATTACTGGATAAGTAAACTCAAACCCTAATATAAAATCAAAATAATCACTCTCTTAATTGATTGAATCCACGATCAAAGAGAATCACTCTTTTAATTGATTGAATCCACAATCAAAGAAAATCACTCTCTCAATTGATTGAATCTACAATTAAAGAAAACCTCAAGGGTAATTTTTATTCTCAATAATGCATCTTGTCCACGTTTTTGGCACCCTAATAATCTATTTATACTACCCTGAAGTTAGAACCCACAACTCTAACATGGATTAGGGTTTGACTTTTTAAATCCAACAACTTATTAGACTAATTAAAGCTCAACAAATAATAAACCCAACTAAATAAACTAAAGTCCACAAATAATAATCCAAATATAGTCCAAGATGAAATTATTGTGCCAAAAAAATAATAAAATCCAACTAAAAGCACTTAAGCCCAAATAATAAAATTAAACTGAATTTTCGGACAGAATTTGACCGTCGACTTCAAGTGAATTTTAAAAAATGAAGTCGGCAGATTCAGCTCCTGAGCTCAACACGAAAGCTGTAGATCTTTCTCTTAGCTTTCCATAGAGTCCAAGATCGTAGCAAATAGATGTGAAGAACTCGAGATATGAAGTTTTTCCCGAGACTGCGTGCTTCAGGAACTTTGCGCGAGTTCTTCGTGTTCATGTTCTTTTCCGAGCTTGATCTCCTTCTCTTCTTGAATTTCTTGTTAGAACGTATCTTGGGCAAGATTCTGAAAGTGAGCTTGCCATCTCCAAGCTTGCCTTGGCGATTTGCATCATTATCTAAGTCTCCAAGCTTGCTTCGGTGATTTGCATCATTCCCTCCCTCCTCAATGCGATTTGTCCTCAAATCGATACCTACAAAATCAATAGAAGGAAATTCAGCAATATCGAAAGTAATATGATCATCATACTTACCTTGCGAACCAAGCATGTAAGATTTGTCGTTAATGCGCTTCATTACTTGGAATGGTCCCTTTCCTCCAGGATCAATCTTAGGATTCTATTGCTTGAGCTTCTTGAGATGTACCCAAATCCAATCTCTAGGTTGAAAGATTGGCACTTGGTGCCTTGGATCAACCTTTGGAATATGCTTCTTGCGGCTTGATCCTTTAGGTAACTGAATCTTCTTTCTAGGTTCACTAATGGATGTAGGGCTAGGTAGCCCTTGTACTGGATGTACTACCCCACCAGGTTCGACTTCAAGCATCTTCTCCTTAGGTTGGAGCTTTCCATTCTCAATTTGGCCTCCATTTAACATGAATGTCTTCAATTCGTGCCAAAGCTTTCCTCCTCTACAATCTACTTGCGCGACTTGTATGGATTGTGAGTGAAATCCTTTTGCTCCATGTAGCATCAACACCTTAGGGTAGGTACCCTTATAAATCTGCAAAGAAACAGCAATAAAATTAGAAAGACAAGGGTGAGTGTTAGCTTTAAACCAAGCTTCCTTGTACAAAAGTACAAACAAACGCTTCTTTTCCTCAAAAGCATCCCTCTCATCTCTCTTTTTTGCAACAAAGATTTGTTTCCATTTACTCTCTTTTCTTCTCTCAACCACAACTTCCTCTTTCTTTTCTTTATCCTTAAATTTTTCTTTTGAGCTCTCCTCTCCTTTTGCAAGGCTCTCAACCTTCCTCTCTTGCTCTCTTTTTGCAAGGCTCTCAGCCTCCCTATTTTGCTCATCTTTTGCAAGGCTCTCAGCCTTCCTCTCTTGCTCTCCTGTTCGGCTTGCCATGCTTCCATCTGACTTTTGATATGTAATTGATCCTCTTGAATTTCCTTTAGAGTCAACGATGCAAGTATAACCTTCCTATCTCCCATGGTGAATGAATACCTATTCTTGGAATCATTATATAACACCTTCATATCGTATTGCCAAGGTCTTCCAAGCAATATATGGCACATCTCCATAGACAGAACATCACATATCACTTGGTCACAATACTTGCCAATGGAAAAAGAAACAAGGACTTGTCTGGTTACCTCGATTTCTCCCATGCCATTCGTCCTTTGTAGAGGATAGGGTCTAGGATGTTCCAAATATTCCAATTCCAAAGTGTCCACTATATACGTACTCGCCGTATTAGTGTCGCTTTTCCCATCAATTTTGACACTAGTACCCTTCTCATTCACCAAGCATCGAGTGTAGAAAACATTCTGCCTTTGCTCAACACCATCTTCCTTAGGTATTTGTCTATAGTCAGATTGCGCAAGAGTCGGATTCCTACCCTCCTTTCGTCGGGGGGCCTCCTCTTGCCTATTCGTCCGATCATTCTGATCTTTAAACAGGCTCCTGCATAAGGGACATGATGTTTCGCCCGCAAGAGAGTGTTAGTAATAACAAATCTTCACGTGTTTACACTCGTGTTTAATCACTCTTGGCAATGGATGTAACACTCAACCTTTTTTCACTCTGATTCTGCTTCAGTTTTATATGTTAGGTTCAAATAAAACAAAATCAAATAACCAAACCTGCAACAATTAATTCAAGAAAACAAAGGTATCCTAAAGAAAGAAAGAAAGGATAACAATTCTAGAGGCAAAAATAGACTCCAAGAAAGAAAAAATTGATCACACACAAGAACAAAGATATGTATGTGAATGATTATTAGCACAATTGAGCAATTATGAAACAACAATCTCCCAATACAATAATAAGGCAAATAGCAAGCAAAAAGAAAGAAAAGCAAATTTGTATAGCTGCTTCCCACACAAATCCTACGACCAGAAACAAAACAGACACAATTCGTATAGATGCCTCTTGCACAAATTGCGATAACAACAAATTCAAATAACTTCGGATAGATGTCTGCTATACAAATTGTGATAACAACAAATTCAAATAACTTCGGGTAGATGTCTGCTATACGAATTGTGATAACTGCAAATTCAAATAACTTCCGATATATGTCTACTATACGAATTGCGATAACAACCAAACTTAAAAGAACTCCTTTCAAGTTCCAATCAACCAATCAATTCTGCCACCTCCAAGAAGCAATACTTGCAATTCCAACAACCAAATCTTCAATTCCAAGCAACACCCACAATCGACTTGCATTCTTTTTTTTTTTTTAATATTTGTCGAAAACACACACAATAAAATCGATGTGTTTTTGGTACGGTTGGTACCCAACTTTCTTACGTTGGGTCTGTTAGTGTAATGCCCAAAAGCCAATCATTGGATGATTATATAGTCATGTATATTTATTAAGATTTTATTCCAATAAATATGTTTATCAATGATAAACGCTTGCACATATTTATAACCTAAGAATATTTTATATTCTTGAATTGTCCCTAGTCGATTATTATTATGGATGAGTTGTAATAATAAATTAAGACTAGCGTATGTTGAGAATTATATGAGATATGAATTCTACATACGGGTACAAGTTAGCGAACTTGTGGACTGGACTGACCCGACGTAAGAACATTGCCTGGACTGTTATGTATATGTTGTCATTAGTGGTTCTTATATGTATTATCCTTAGGCTTGAGATCATCAAGGGTCCCAACATGTTACTCATATACTTTGATATTGCTCTTGGTCATTCGTAAATGAGTGAACTTTAGAGTAATCATTGGGTACATGATATAATGTGTAGTGGGTTTTGTATGATCAAGATGGAATTCGTCCAACCCTCATAACAGGTATATTATCAGTTGGGCCTCTTGTTAGAGTTCAACTGTAAATGCATGGCCATGCTCAGATTAAATGATATGGGGATATTATTTGTATCTGTTTTACACAGTTAACTCAGGGATCAAGAAAACTTAGATAAAATTTTTACGAGAATGACACATTCCATGTCTCGTGTTTAATCTTGATAATGTGACGAAAGGATAATGACATTTTTCCGAGGCATAATGAATCAGTACTGATCTGGTCACTCGGGTAGCAATGATGTATTGCTAGACACCGCTCATTGTTTATAATTATAAATGAGAGTTTATAATTATTGCCAACGTGATTAGTGCCTACAGGGTCACACACTTAGAACTATTGATTCGAGCCAGTGGTTAGACCATGGTTCGACCAGGTTATTGAGCTAGTGGTTGGACCATGGTTGGACCGGATCGTTTGGGTTGGTTCGGTTCAATAGTTATCAGAATTATTGAACCTGAATTATTGTCGTAAAGGCATGAAAGGATGTGTTGTTTTATATATATGTTGATATATATAATTGAGTTAGTGGAGACATGATCATGTTGATGATTGTGACTTAAGTATAGATGACGGAAAAACACAATTATGCATGATAAGATGTATGTATGATTGGTTGGCCATTTTCTATATTAACTAACATGTAAACATATATGTGATATATGTAAGAGTGTGAAGTATGAGCAGATTTGAGTAGAGCTCAACACACAAGCACATACACAAAAGTTGTGAGAAAAACACTATAAGCTCTTTTGCTCTCGGAATTCTGCAGCTAGCACTGCGGTTCGGGAGTGCTCGGGTTAGTGACCGTGTGACGATTGCTAGCAGTCATCGACGGTTCGTGTGGATACCGTAGAGGAGTCGGATTTTTGTCCGGTTCTTGCTGATTCGTATCATCGAGTGAAAGATCTCGACCAAACCAGGTACGAAATTTTTGTTATTCGGTTTACCCCGTTTCACATGGATCCTCCATTAGTTCCGGGCTTTCCGCTGCGCATATTATCTCTTTGTTTGCATACCCGGTTACTTATAGTGGTAGCAGAGCCTCTTGTGAAACACTAAAC